AATAAAAGTAACAAAAATTAAAAAAAAATGTCGTTAGGCACTTGGGTAGCTATTTGGGATCTTCTGATTGTTTTGAGTTCAAATGTAATACAGTTCCTTTGCTGGGCCCAGCAGCCCAGGCAGGAAGGCGCAGGGCTTGACTATTCAGAGCTGGGACTGTGGTTCTTCCTGCCCCTCAGACGAAAACAGCTGTAGCTGCTGTGACAAGGCACCAGGTAAATGGCCAAATGGTGCTTTGGTTGCTGGACCCGTTTCCTTAAATTCCCCCTAACGGTGTCAGAGGACCAGTCCAGATTCTCTGTTACAATTCATGCTGCTTTCTGAACATTTACACAGAGCTCCAGAGACTTGAGGGAAGTTTCTCTGTCACATTTCAGGCGTTCAAGTCACATACATACCTCATCTCCATGCATATTTGCCACGTATTTGAACTCCGGAATCCCAATTCTGTGTTCCTTTGGAGACCGCCCCACAACAAGAACCCAGAGGTTTCTGCCTTTACAAGGAAGAAAAAGATAACAAGAAATAAGCTGTCTTTTAAAATGACAAATGAACTACAGGAAAATGAGAATAGGGAACAACGAAGCTTCTCCCTCCTGCATACTTGGAGGTTTCATAAGGACTGGAGTTCATCTCACTAACACCTCCTTAAAATGCTTCCTTTATTGCCAAACCTTTCAACTTAGCACAAATATTTAAATTCATGTTTTTATGTGATTTCCTAAAAGTGGAAGACTAATTGCTAAGGAGGGTAGTTCTCATTTACCCAAATTGTTTATATGCTTTGCTCCTATGCCTAATCATTCATAGGAACAACCTTGCTAACGCACACAATTATGCAAACTTCAAATACAGTGGTGGATGACCAGGAGAGCCTTTAACTCAGTGCCAGAAAAGTGGAAAACACACACACACAAAATGGGACACGTAACACTGAGGGAGGTGGCTTTAAAATAATAGGTCCTAAATCTTGTATTGAAATGCTAGTGTAAGAGCCTCTGGGCCCTGCTGGGTGTGGGTGAGTCCTGCCCAAGAAACTGGGGACACCATCCATCCTTCCAGCATCTCGGGAAAAGTCTCTAAGTGCTAGTGTGGCCATAGGTGGGCAGAGACTAAAGATCAATGAGGATTTGCTCTGTGCAGAGAATACAGTTGGTCTCTGGCTTACAATCTTTTGGGTAGTCCTGTGGCAGACACTAAGATGCAGGGTTTTTTTGTGGTTATTAAAGATTTATATTATTTATGCATCCAAGAACTGGTATATAGGCCAGAAGTGTGCATGTTTTTTTTGTGGGGGAGGGTTGTAGGGGTGAGAGGATTCACCAGAGACAGAGTGGGGAGCAGACCAGGCAGGTCTATGGAAATACACTGCTGAGGGGAGCCGTGGGCAAGACTGGAGAGGTCTGTTGTGACATGTGGGTCAGCTCCCTGGCCGGGGATCCTGCTGCCGTGGCTGCCTATAGTGCTGAGCCTTAACTCCCTGCTGCCACCAGGGAGGCCCTAAGATGGAGTTTTAATGCAAGTTGACATAAGAGAAAATGAATCTTGACAGAAGAGAAAATGAATCTTCAGAAGAGATTAAACTCCAGATGACCAGACTGTGAACTCCGGAACTAAGACTTGAATCCTGGCCTATATGTCCATAGTCCAGTGTCCCTATCACTAACAAAGACTGACCCTTCCTCAGGAGGCCTGGTTTTCTGAGCAATTAAATGAAGGAATACCTCTGAACTTTAAAATAATATTTTTTTAAAAAATAACAGTTTATTTTTACATCATTTTGTGCCTTTTTCCATCTCAGTTGTAATCCCCGTGGGCTTCCCATTACCAAATCACCCGTGTGCCATCACCATAGTCCAGTGGATTTCCCTCCCTCCACTCCACCTCCATAAAATGTCTCTGGTACATAGCTGTTCATTATTATTTTTATAAAATAATATCTTTTAATAAAACACTTTAAAACTAGAGATTGGGCTATTTATATTTAATACACACAAAGTTCAGTTACCTGTGACATCAAAACCTCATGTGGGGAGACTCCCTGGTGGTGCTAGAGGTTAAGTCTCAGTACTATGAAGCTACCCGCAGCCAGTGCAGCACGATTTTGATCCCTGACCAGGGAGCTGACCCACATGGCACAGCAGACCTCTCCTATCTCACCTGTTGCTCCCTTCAGCAGTGGGTTTCAGTCAATCTGCCTGTTCTGCTCCCCACTCATCTCTGTTGAATCCTCTTACCCCCCATACCTCTGGAATATACGCCCAATTCTTGTATGCCTAAATAAAATAAATTTTTAAAAAAGTATATTAGAAGTGGTTTGTTCCTGGGAAGATGATTATATAATATTAAATTAAGCAAAACAACATTAAATGTGGATTTCCTTAGTTAAAAATCATACACATAAAAAAGACTAGTGACAGGGCCTCATTGGTAGCGTCATGGGGCACAGCCCTACAAAGCTAGCTGCAGCTGCTTTGACACCCATGGCTGGGGGGCTGACCGACATGGCGTGGCAGACCTCTCCAGGCCCGCCTGCTGCTCCCCTCAGCAGTGTGTTTCAGTCAATCTGCCTGTTCTGCTCCCCACTCTGTCTCTGGTACCTGTACCCTCTGGCCTGTACCTCATTTCTTATATGCACAAATAAATAAATCTTAAACAAACAAACAAACAAAAAACAACCCTTCATATGGGGTTCAAGAGCCCACAGAAGGAATTTAACAGGAGCTAGTAGCTTGATACTGAGCTGGCTTCTGTAGAATTTCCCCTCTAGGTCTTTAAATCCGGCATCCCACAGGCTGAGGAACACTTAATAGTTATGAAGAAAGCGGGGTGAAACTGATACCTGATTTGCATTTCACCATTTAGTCCTACTTTATTATAATACTAGAGTTACTTTTGTCATGTTAGAATGACATGTTAAACTTAGTAACTGAATTCTTAGAAAAAACCCAAAAAATGCAGTTGATCAGATTCAATGCTACCTGTTCAGGGCAAAATCCTCATTCCTTCATTTACATATCTGTGCACTAACTCATCAATGAATAGTTTGTCAAATGATCCTTTATTGAAATATTTCCTCTTTTAGCTATTAACCAGCTGGACATTCCACCTCTACACTATTGAGGTCGTGTATGAAGTTGGGAGGGTGGAGGCCACCCTTCAACATGGCAGCCACTGAGAAACGGTCTTAAACCTCTTGAACACCCGGGTGCCAGAGAGTTCTCTCCTTCACTGCTGGCGAACTCTGGGGCTGCGCTGCTCCACTGTGCTCATGTTTCCCTGCTGCTCTCTGACTCTTGGCAGTTTCTTGAAGTTTCTGTGCTAAGGCAGAAGGTAGCACCTTGATCTGGGCCTGTTTTTTCCTGAAAAGTCTTTCTCACTGTCAACCCCAGACCATTCTAATCATGGGTTGCCTTGGTGATGTGCAACTTACTATCGAGCTCACTGCTCACTCCTGACCAGCCCATTCTGCAATCCAGGCAAGTCCTTCAGCGTCTCTGCTACCTGCAGCTGGAGGGGGTCAAGGTGCTGGAGCTGGCCCAGGGGTTGTGCCCTGCACCCCTGAACCTGCATGTCCTGGGATGGCTGGTAGGGGAACCACTGCTGTCTTTGGGAGTCAGATCCAGATTGCCAATCTGGGGGTTAGGGCAGACTGGTACTGACTTCCACATAGCTTCCCCTCTTTGATTTCATTGGGGTTGAACTTAGATGATATGGTGGAGACAGCTGGTGTCAGATGAGCCCTGACTTGAAGCAACTAAGGAAAAGTCACCTTGTTTTCCTCTGAGCCAACAGTCAAAACCACATCGATTTATTCAGTGCTACTACATAAGGGCATTTAATTAGGTGATCAGACTGCATGGACAAGTCTCACCGCCTATGCCTAGGGAGCTACTGATCTACTGCAGGACAGCAACATACAAAATAACTACACTAGAGTGTGGCCTATGAGCACAGAAATGTGTGTAAGTCACTGTTGTGGACACAGAATCGAAGAAATGGTTAACTTTTTCCAAAGAGGGGATCAGGAAAGCTTTACAGATGTAGGATGTAGGGGGTTTCTAACTTACTTCTAAATAGAGTTGTGAGAGATGATAGAAGTTACCAGGTGGACAAGCACAATTCATCCAGTGATCTCCACCAGAACCACCTCATTAACTAGAAGCTTCCATTCCTAATTCTCAGGTTATCTGGAGCTTCTGTTCTTCAAAGTTCATATTTTCTGAAGCAAGTGAGGTTAGTCTATCTAAAAGGTTCAGATAGATTTTGCTCAATAAGCCCAGAATAGCCTCTTGTCCGGTGGGTAGAAGAACTAGGGATCCCACAAGCCCTTGTGAGCCTGGGAGCTATATTACCAATTCTTAAAGACTGCAGATTGTTTTGCTTTGAGAGTAGTAAGGGTTCAGAAGCCCAGGGTAAGCCTCTGTTCTTACCTAGGTCTTTTTTCTTGCCTAAGTCTTTTAGCCCTACTTAGTTGAAGAAGATCCTTATGTACTAATTGAAATAATCACTGCTCTCCCTTTCATGACTTAGAAGAAAATAGTTGGGAGTCTCACTCAGTTGTAGGTATAACAGCAAATGTGTCCACTCTGAGAACCTCATCTCTACTTTCAGAGCAAGGACAAGGTCACCTCACTCTTACTGGTCACATGAAGTCTCCCCTTTTCTGTTCTTGACACCCCAGGTCTCAAAACACAAAGACTTCTGGTTGCTCTTTAGAATTAACAATCAAATTTTCCATACATATGTTATGATGTTTTTCCTTTGCTCAGCAGTCTGACTGGTTACTCATTTAGTCCAAAAATAACCCATAGGGGTGTGGGGTGATTTCTTTTGTGCTCTGATACAAAGGACTTTCTCTGAGTTATTAAATCTGGTTCTTTTCAAACTGGGGGCCCTTCAGAACAAACTGTAGGGCAAATCGATATCCTGCCCCAGAGAGCTGCATGTGGTCAGTGCAAGTGGCAGTGGGTGGTGAGCAGGCAGGCCCTGGCTCAGGGCTGTAGGAAGGGGCGCAGGGCCCCTGGGCCAGTGTGGCCCTCTCCAGCTGCAGGCAGTAGAGAGGCCTGTGGATTTGGTGCCTGGATCGCAGAATGGGCTGATCAGGTGTGAGCTGGTTAGTAAATGGTCCAATCAGTGATAGGATTGGTCTAATCAGACTTGGAGGGGGTGGTGTGGAAATCCCTGAAAGGAGATGTAAGGTAGGGCAGGCACTAGTTAGATGCTCAGACTGTCACCCTCAGGCTCATTCTGTTCCTGAGGTGGCCTCTGTTCCTGGGCCCTGAAGAAAAAGAAGCATCAGCAGCCAACCTCTGCAGGAAGAAGAGAAGCCAAAGAGCTTCCAGAGGCCAGGCCTCCATGCTGGTCGCCAGCCTGCCTCCGACACTGCTTGAAAGGCCCTGGTGTCTCAAAGAGTTGTTCATTCTTGGGTGGGCCAACAACTTGTCAAGAGCTGTGAACAGGGTGTTTCTGACACTGCCACCTCCTGGTGACCTG